TCCCGGAATTCCCAACCGCCGAACAAAATTCCTAGCGCGCTCGCTAAGGCGGCGTAATTCCTACGCAGATGCATGAATTCCTTCAAAGAAGTCGCAACAAAAAAAAACGTCGTCTTGGACGCAAGAAGGTCTGACTAGCCGACGATTTCTTGTTCCAAGAACATAGCACAGGAGAAGGGGGGAGGCTTTAGAAGATGGTTTAGGTACGGAAGCTGGTACGTCACAGGCTAGTGAGAGAGAGACCCCGGCGTTTCAGATTACAACGACGACTCTCATGAAACTTTGGAAGGATCTCTGCAAAATTCCATCAACCACATTTTGTGGCCTAGCTTGGCTACAATCGCACAGAGAGGTTCCCGCAGCTAGCTGGGAATAAAATGCAAGTAGACAGAGTCAGTTGTAGGTGCAGAAAGAAAGAGGAGACTACAGCCCACTTGAGGTGAGGCTGTATAGAGTCTAAAGAATATGGGTATGGTGGGAGAGGTTATGGAACAAGCATATGGAGCTTAAAGTGAAGTGGGATGAAGGGTTTGTGGTGGGCGGTCTCCTTTCTGACAACAAGGAAGTGGTAAATAGTTGGTTTTATGTTGCTACCGTGTGTAGAGTAGCGATTTTGTATTTTATCTGGACGCTAAGATCTCTCCACAATAAACATTGTCCTTTCGGATACAAGAGCTCTGATTTGGATAAACTAGAGGAGAATGAACAGAGCAACTACGTGAAGTAAATGCTAGGCGAGCCTTCTTTACAACTTGGGGCTCGGGTGTTAGGATGTTAAACACTACCGCAAAGGGGATCAGGATTGAACCTTGGCTGATGGGGCCAAGACCGCCGTGAGTTTGCAAGAAAGGTGGCCCTTCACTCCCCGGTTTCTTATTGATCTTCTTATGCAGTTCCTTTTGATCATGTCTGGAAATTGTGGAGAGGTATTTGACAAAGAGAGATCTCTTGGGGACCACAGTAAGTTGTAGGAGCTAGCTGTTTAATATCCATATTTGGCGCCCTCAGGTGAATAGGCTTCTGGAGTTCGTTGGGATCCGTTATGTCTGGTGCCCCTGGCTGTTTTTGAACACTCCTTATGAAGCCATCGGACCTTTGTTGGTTCCTACCTCCTGGGACGCTGGACCTGGTGTCCAGCAGGTGCAGCTTCCCACCAATAGAATAGAGTCATTGAACCTTTGTTGGTTTCTACCTCCTAGCCCTCGTACCACCCCAGGAGGCAGGAGTTGAGGCTCTTAGGCGTTGATCCGACAGTACACAAAAAGAGAAGAAAAAAAAAAAAGTCCATAAAAAGAAGGCAATGGGTCGGACGGGGCGGAAAAGCAAACTCGGACCCCACACGAGCGGGCTCCGCGTTCCCAAGTACTGTGGAGGGTTTTTTGGCCTCCCACGGTGACGGACGTTCCTGTGGACCACCGTATGGCTTGGCATCCCGAAGTGGGTGACACGGCACCTGCGGTGGACTTCGGTAGAGCGGAACCTGTCCCAGCACCCTGTCGCACCTGGAGTGTTCGACCGACCCGCGAATTGTTGTTCGGTCGGTCTCGTAAAATGTTTTGAAAACGGGGTGCAGATGGTTGGGTCACCTGCCACAACGGAAACACACACGTGGACATCGTGGTGGTACGTCATTGGTGACGGGGGTGGTCTGGACGATTCGTTGCTTCCACCATAGCCTTCGTGTCACCGCAGAAGACGATGGTAGACGTGGGCAACTTTCTTAGGTGGGAGCGGGTGCAAAGGCGCGCACACACACACAACCATGTCGTTCCCGTCTGCGAAGATGTCACCAGCCAAAGTGGTGTTGATGTGCGTGGCTACCGCGCGATGGTTGAGGATGAGGCAATATGTGGTATTCATGGTAACCATTACGCTTCTCGTCCTCCAGGCGGCAACGAACATTGTTGTCGTGTAGACGACATCCTCAACGGCGTTCATTTTGGTGGTGGAGGAGGCACGCAAGCAAGCCCCAGGGAGAGGGTCAACATTTGAGAAACCGCGATCAACGTCGTTTTTGGGTGCGCCTGCGTGTCGGGGGGACATGGGAGGAGCTGTTGATGGAGGGTGCGGAGCGTGCCGAGAAGTTTCGGTTGGACATGAGCTCACAAAACCGACGTTCATCCGCGTTTTGACCCTCACAACTCCGTGCATCCAAAAGCAAGTCATCCCATGACATGACACACATCACCTCCCGTGCGACACACATCACTAAGCGACAATGACATGACAGCGACACACAAATGATGTAAAACATTTCACGTTGTAGGGCACGTTGGTCTCACACGCTGCGGCAAGCGTAGGACCTCATGATCATGTCACGTAGGATTAAGGTACTATTTTCTTACTCCGAGGAGATACTACTCCGACCATGCGTAACAACTATACCTCTCACGACTCCCTGCAACATGCCAGGGGTCTGCGAGGTACAACTCACCTCTACCGGAGGGGTTGTCACCACCCTTAGGTAGACGTATGCCTGCTGAGCTATTGACTCACGTATGAAGGCTTTTACTGGCAATCGCAGAGGTAAGTCGGTCGAGGGCGTTTGCTCGGTCGCCGTAGCATAGACATACGCGTGGTTGAACGCATGAGACTGATCTATATATGTGTCGGGCATCGGGGCGCTGATCTCCAGGACCGACTTACGATTCAGGTCGACTTAACTGACGATCTTTCGCACATACTATGTCCTAATCTATCTGCACTTAACCCATATTAAGTTATATGCGCTGTATTAATTCTTTCAAATCAATACATACATAATGAATACATTTCAAAGGTTTAGATTTAAAGGCAAGGAGTTGTCTTTATATTTTCACATAACAAAGGCGAACATCAGGATGAACAAAACTTTAACTTTTGGAAGAGAAACAACATAGGCTCTTGGCCTTTCAAACAGGCATCACAAATAAAAGTAGGTTCATGGTTTTTCAAAACATGCATAAAAAATAAAAGGTAGGTTCATGACCTTTCAAAGAAAATGACATGAATAAGGCTCTCAACTTTGTTTATTACCCCAGTCTGTTTAGCATCAAGAAGGAGTAAAGTTGGGAATCCAAACCAAATGAACAAAGGTTAAGTGTCGACGAAGTGTCTAAGTCGAGGCTCATGTAAGCATAAGTTTGTCAATGCTAGTTGCGTGAATAGCACATGGTTGGTCGTTTTACTGATCTGTAGACATAATTAATCACATTTTACCTGTATAACATCGTGTTCGGGTTCGGTGATGGAACCCGAACGTTCGGGACTGAATGCAAACGAGCGTCGGAACTCTCCAAACACGAACATAAAAAAAAAAAAAAAAGTTATTCGAAAAATCCGAAAAAAATATTATATGTTATGTAAAATAATAATACAAACAAATTTTGCCTTGGAGATTTGCTCAAATTTGTAATCAAACTCGATTTGAAAATCAAAAAAAGAAAAGTGTTTTTTTTTTTTTTTTTTTTTTTTTTTGAATATGTTCGGGCGGCGTTCGGCCGAACACCCGAACAAATTCGGACATTCGGAAATGCTCCGAACATGTTCGGTGTGCTACACAACATTACACAATCCTAACAGAGTCAACCATTCATTCGCTTTCACACACATTACACTTATGCTTCCAAACCTCTCAGCCAGACATTCATTTTTCGACTCAGTCATTCAGTCATACAAGGACCTCATTTGACCTAACACAGACCCTTTAGACAATGACCCAAAAACAGAAATGCCTTTTAGTGCAGAGGTATATGCAAAGTATGGGCGTCAAGGGTGAGAGAGGGTTGAGTTGGCGAACCAACCTGTTACCATATGACAACAGCATGTAGTCTTGCATTGACTCATAATGAATCTTCTTGATTAAGAAGACTTGCAATTATACACAAGTCAACAAGGTCTAAACACCCCCCTCCCTATCGACATGACCCTACATGAAGTTCAACAATATGAACTTCAATTCTAACGCAGGATTATAATATAGTCCGATCAAATGACATTGTAAGTATGAAGTAAAAAGACCCTCACTGGAGCCTTCATCTCATACTTATTAGTGAGTATGGATTCGGTCAAGTGGTAGGATGACTCACACATGAGTATCCTACCAGTTGTTTTTAGTCTAACTAGTTTAGACTTAGACAGACCATGGGATGACCCACACAGGGGTACCCCACTTCTAGTCTGTCAATCTAGCAATCTAATATATGTATGTGTGTACAAACGAGCAATAGGATGTTTCTCACACAAGTGCCTTATCATATCACCCATTCTGTACCACTATTTTACACTCATACATTAATTAGATACAAACAGTTGCGGGTAGTACAAACAAAGGTTTATAGGATGGGGATGAGATAGGACTTCGTCGGTCTTCTTGTTTCGTATCTCTATTCTTCTTTTTCATCCTTCTCTTTCTTTCTCCTTATTCATTTTTTCATTCTCTTTCTACCTCCTTCCTTTTTTTCTTTTCTCTACCTTTTCATTTCATCCTCACGTCCTCCTGTCTAGATGACCCTGCGTGCACTTGGACTTGCTCCTGGCCAGTGTGCACAAAGCCAACCATGGCTCTAGCCAGACACGGGGTTAACATGCATATATTTGATTGTGTTAACAAAAAAATCAGAACGAACAGTATAGGTAATGAAATAGTAACAAATAATAATAATAATAATAATAATAATAATAATAATAATAATAACAATAATAATAATAATAATAATAATAATAATGCAATGAATATGAGTGAGCGGCTAGCTTTCCCCCCCCGGACGCCCGGGGCACCCGAGCCCGCCCGGAATGGCGCTCAGGGCGCTCGGCCATGCAACCCCCCCGGCCAGGCACCCGGACCCTCTCAACGCCGTACAAAAAACGGCGGCAAAAAAAAAAATTCGCGCCGCCGCCCATTGGCCCACAGGCCAAAAAACATTTTGGTGGTCGGCGCACTATTTTTCGGGGCCCGATAGGCCCCTTTTTCGAAGTTTTTTTCTTTTTCACTGCCGGCCGTCGATCGTCGGTGATCGACGGCGATTGTGGCTCCCAGGATTCAAATTTGAATCCCGAGCCGATCTGCCTCCCGCCCCGTGCCCCTCCGCCCTCCGCCCTCCACTCTCCTACCCTCCTCCAGGCGCCAGTGATAACACCGCCCTCCCGTGACGACGCTGCCCTCCCGTGACGCCACCGCCCTCCCGCCGTGCCTTCGTCGCCGTCGTCATGCTGCCACCGTCGTCGTCGCCCCGCTGCCCGGCCATCGTTGTCCCCCTGCTGCCGCGTCTTCGTCGTCCTCCAGCTGCCACGCCATCGTCATCATCCTCCTTCCCGCCGACTTCCTCGAGTGTTGCCGCGCGCCATCTTCACAAAGGGTCGAACTTCGAGGTAAGTTACTAAGTTTGCGTTTTTATTTTTCTTCTTCTTCTTTTTCTTCTTCTTTTTCTTCTTTTTCTTCTTTGTTTCTTCTTCTTCTTCCCGTCGACTTCCGTTTTTTTTTCTCATCTTGTTTTCCTTCCTCTTCTTCATTTCTTCTTCTTCTTCTTCTTCTTCTTCTTCTTCTTCTTCTTCTTCTTCTTCTTCCTCGTTTCTTCTATTTCGTTTCTTTTTCGTTTTTGTTGTTGTTTCGTCTTCTTCTTCTTCTTCTTCTTCTTCTTCTTCTTCTTCTTCGTTTGCGTTTGGAGAGGTCCAGGCCCACGCGTGGGGAGGGTTCTGGACCACGTGGAGAGTTCTTCTTCACTGGTGGCATCGCTTCTGCTTCGTCTTTTTTTTTTTCTCTTTTTTTTTTTTTTTTTTTTTTTTTTTTTTTTTTTTTTTTTTT